GGAGAGAGTGCGGTGCAAGCGGTCGAGTGTGCCGCGCGCTGTAGCAGGCGCCCAAAATACACCGCGCGGGATAGTGCTTTCGACCGCGCGCCCAACTCGTTATAGCGCGTGTGCCGTTTTTGCGCGCCCGCTGGAGCGACCCACCGCGTTGCGCGCACGCTAAAACGGTCTAATTTGCGGCGCTGCGCTTGTATAGCGCGGCTGTTGGAGATGCTCTAAGCTTCACATCCTCTGATACCCCAGCGGTTTTCGCTCCCCTTTCCCTTCTCCACCCAAAGGCAAAATTTGCATGTATCTCATTTCATTCGCGACAAGCTGGATGACAAGAAACTCTAAATCATATCTAGTTTTGCAGGAGAGATGGAACCAAGGAAGAACCATAGACAATAACCCCAAAAGAACCAGATTTCGCAAACAACATAGATGAAGAATGAAAGGAAAATCCTGCCAAGGCAATAGTATTTGTTTTGGTAGATATGCTCTTCAAGCACTTGAACCCGCTTGAATCACAGCTGAGACATATAGAAGCAAGACAAAGAGCAATAAATATACACGTCATGGTGGAAAAATATTAGTATGTATATTTCCAGACAAACTAGTTACACTAAGATCCATGGAAACACGTATGGGCTTGGGAAAGGGATCCCCCGAATATTGGGTTGCCGTTGTTAATTAAATCAGGTTATATGCTTTATGAAATGGGGGAAGTATCTAAAATGGTAACTAGAGCAATTATCTTCATAGCTGCCAGTAAAATGCCCATACGAAGTCAACTTATTCGATTAGAGATATAGAATCCAACGATACGGGAGTTCTCTCCTCCCCGGTCCGCTGCACCAACAACGAGAGAACATGGGAGTCCTTGGGTTTTCCATCAAGGTTGTACGTACGGATAGATTTAGGGTTTCGAGGTGTGACGCAAGGTGGGGGTAATGACGCCGTGTCAAATAAGAGTTGCTACATCTTCAACCCCACCTTGGCGTGCCGTGGAGCTAGTAGCATAGCTTTCTCTCTGGTCAGTTCAACTGGCGAGATCCGAGTTCTTCGGTTTGGTCACAGGGTAGCGGCGGTGACCAAACTAGTTGGATTTTGTATTTCGAATATTCCTCCGCCACAACGATGTTTTCTCTAGTATATGCCGTCCGTTGATCTAGGAGTTTATATAGGTGCTGGCCGTCGTTTGCTATCTCTGGTAGGGGTGTCCACGAAAAGAGGGTAGAGGTGGCTCCTCCACATGGTTGGAGGCCTTTTGGTGGCGGATCCGCATTCTTCAGTAATGACATCGTTTGTACACAGTAGATTTGGGGCCCGAGTTGCATGGAGTTGTTACCCCAACTAACTAGCCATAATGAGATGTGCTCCGACAATGACCTTGGATGCTTTCTTTGGATCTCAAATCTTTGACGTGATGGTGCAGCGATGACTCTTCGGCGAGTGGATCTACCTTCTATTCCTCCTGTTTGCATTATGCGGCGATGCAAATTGAAAGTAGGCGGCTGCTTCATTCAATAATTCACCCCTTAGGGATCTAGATATTATTTTCTTTTTATTGTGTGTGTGTGGGGGGGGGGGGTGTTTTTGGTTGTTCTTGTGATGGGGGCCCTAATTTTGCTCAGCCTACGTCAATTAAATGCTCAAAACCCTCTGAGCAATCAAACTAGCATACTTATCCACATCTTTGGCAGCCATGTATTGCACATTTTGATCAGGTTCACTGCCATGTTAGTCTCATGGGCAATAAGAGCTAAAGTCTCCTTACCATAGTCACAATAACTCATACCCACCATTCCGATGAATGATCATGACACTCTTGGAGAGACAATTATTTGCGTAATGACCAAGATAAGTGCAATGAGGGCATTTTGCATTACTTGTTTAGCCCGGGGAAAAAGGATAAGATCAAGCATGCATAGGGAGAAATGATCTCCACATGCAACCACACATGGAAAAACTAGTTTGCTACTTACATTCAGTCAATATTTTACAACTATATAAAAATCAAAACAATAAATCATATACTTTTAGTTTCAATTCTCATATTATCAATCCAAATATTCATACTCGGATTTATCAAAATATATTGCAATGAATTCCTGCAACAATGGACGGGTTATCATCTAATAATGGAAGGCAAGGCGGTGATGTTCGGCAATTCTCGCAATAAGGCACAACATTTATCTTTATTTAAGATCTTGTCATAAATTCGTTGAAAAGAAATCCTGTCCACTAGGACAAACCATTCTCAACAGTAACGGGATACAAGTAATAGGGGTTAGGATCCTCTGCAGTACTGTACGGTGCAGTATAATCACTGCTGACTGCCGTGTGGACCCGGCCCCACATGTCATCCGCACTACAACACCGTACAGTACTACAGAGGATCTCAACCCAGTAAATAGTAAGGCACACATTAAGCAAATGAACGTTCCAAAAACTATGGCAACGACTTCAACTACAGCACTTGTCATCATGCTTGGCGCTAACCAAGACCTGTCATGGATGGAGTTTTATGGCCGTCATGTCAAGAATCACTGCTGTTCTACGTAAGGTGGGAGCATCCCATTCAGGAAGGAGCTCAACATCACCAGTGCCCTCTCAGGCTGGAAGGATGGAACCAGATGGCCAGCACCCCTCACAGATAGGAATGTGAATCCCCCCGCGTATTGCTGAACATAGCCTCCCACCTGCAAGTGCAACCATCCGTGTAAAAAACCAACAATTTCGAGGCGATCCAGTGAAGATGAATGCTAGTGTACACGATAGGGAATTTATTTACCTCCTCCTTTGCTATCCATGGACGCCATGGGGTGGTCACAGAGAGGCCAAGGTCCTGGATAGAATACCTCGTCCCCGGAAGTGAGCACACAGTATCAAAATCACCACTGAAACATGGAGACAGGTTTGTTACTACACCAGACTCTACTTTTTAGAGTGTCTGAGAATAATAGACTGCTTTAGTCAGTTACCTGAAAATCCAAATCGGAAGCTTGCTTTCGATCAACCATTTGATGGTTGGCAGCATGGACATTGGCGCATCTTTCCAGTTCAAGTTTCTGCATGCACGTACAAATCACATGAGTTACCTAAGTGCGGGTGAAATCGATAACCGATTAATTGGTGCATATTAGCTGCTAGTTGAAGGATCTTACGTGCACCCTGTCCACTTGGTCATTCTAGCGTGGAACGCCATCTGCACCGCTGGGTCATTGAGGTAGGCATGAGTAGGATAATCACTGCATGGATCATATCCAGCTAACTGCAATTTGAAGAGAGAAACACCGGTTAGCTGTTCAGAACATGTACTGTAAACGTAAGAAATGTTTTCCCCTTTTTCTCGTTTCGAAAAGGATTTCGAAAAGGAAATGTTGTCCTTCAGAAAAAAAAAAGTCCAAGAATAACTGCTGACTTACGTAGCCACTGGGGTAATATGTTCCATTGGGCGCGTCAATGCAAACTGGAGCGTATATGTTGTAGCCATCGATGTTGCCAGCGCTGAACCCGTCGACGGCGCCGTTGCATGCGGCGTTCGTAAACGTACCATCCACGCTGTCGAAGTCGCAGTTCTTGGTGATATTGGCGTAGACCTCGTCGGACATCACCGCATGGGTCCAGTAGTAGTTGATCGCGCCCTTAATGTTCCTGTTGGCGTCAAGGTACGGATTTCCAACCTTCAACCAAAAACATGACAAACATCAGTTTTGAACAGAAAGAAAAAATGTACTCCGGCACGTAGAATGTTCCATTTCATCTAGGTACAGCTAGTTAATTTGACCTACCAGGATGCCCTGAAGGTTTATGATGGTTCTGTTGCTGTATGTGTTGTGGAGCAGGATGGTGGCGGCGAGCTCCGGCACGTAGTGGCCGGCGAAGCTCTCCCCGGAGATGTAGAAGGCGCGGCCCTTGTACTCGGGGAACCTCTCCAGCCATTTCACCAGAAAGACGTAGGCGTCATCAGCAGTTCTCTCGTCTCCACTGAGATCGTAGTCCGCAGACGTGTTCGAGTAAGAAAATCCCACACCGGCCGGCGACTCCAGGAAGATCACGTTAGCCACTGCCATTATTTTTCACAAGCAAAGCATTAGAGTCTTGCCGTATACATGATCACTGATACATCGAGTGCTAAAGGCAGGATTAACGGGTAGAAGAAGCTAGCCATGGGACATTACCGTTGTTCCAGGCGTTCATGTTTCTGCTGAGGGTTCTGTTGTCCTCAGTTACTCGGAACGGGCCCAGCTCCTGCATTGCCCCGTAGCCCAGCGACGAGCATCCTGGCCCTGTGTATGCATGAAGTGTGTCACTGCTGTCCTTGAGAATTTTCTAGTAGTACAAGAGATGTTTGAGTTATCAACTTGTTGTTGATCATTCTAACCTCCGTTGAGCCACAGGAGGAGTGGCTTGTCCGAGGCACCGGATGGCGATTCGACGAGGTAGTAGAAGAGCGCGCGGCCGTTCTCCTCGTCGACGGTCACGTACCCGCCGTACTGGTTGAAGTCGACGCCCTCCGGCTGCCCGGGCAACGCCGTGATCATGTCGGCCGCCTTCATGGAGCTCTGGTCAGAGACAGAGCTCTCCGCGCTCAGGCTGCCGGCAAACCTGTCGGCTATGTTGCGCACTTTGAACGTGTCGGTGCTGTCGCTGTTCCTCCTAGACAACATGAACTCTCTCAGCTGGGCCTCTTGAGAGGCATTTGCGTGGAGCTGCAGTGCAGCCAGGCAAATGAGAAGCAGGGACAAGGAAGAAATGATCTTCATCTTTGGTGAGATGGCTGTCGATCTCTGAGTCTGAGATGAGAGATATCATTGGCATGCATGGTTTTTATAGGCGCCGGACGAAGGGAAGAGAATACTCTGAACCATGGAGCTTTGGATTCTTGTATGTGTATGTTCTTGTTTCCTCTACAACCTTGTGAGGATCACAGCTTCTTTGCTCCGTGGAAAAGGCCGGCAATGATTGGTCGAATTGGCATTCGGCCGGGCATTGAGAGCGAAAGGTGGTGATTGGGACGTTTTTTCCCCCGTGTAGTGTAGGATTTCAGACGGTTCTTTATCTTCACATCTCTTGTTTGGGACGATGATTTGGACTGTAACCGATGGCTATTCGTGTATGTACTCTGTGCTGTGTGCTCCCGTCCCAGGCATATGCTTTGGTGAGATGTACGGCAGCGAGGAAATTTCCATTTCAATGTTGGCGAGTGCCAAATGGACCTCTGGGCAAGAGCGCTTATGTGGTGGGCGTTTAAAGAAAGAGAACGATAAAGGCGCCTACGTACGCTTCACAACCTCCGGGGCAAAGAATTAGTGATGCTAAGCTTTGAGTTGGCAAAAAATCCTGCAAAAACTAAACAACTTAAATTTTGATCCTAGCACCGGGTTGGTGATTTGCCGTGTAAATTGCGTAAAACCATCACTTTGAGGGTTAGATTTGCGAAAAACACTAGGATACAATTTCTCTGCAGAAAAACCACATCTTGCGTAATTGTTTTGCAAAAACCACTTATCGACGGATTTGGCTCGGTTAAGCACGTTTAGGACAGATGTGGCATGTTTTTCGCTCACGTGGCATAACGTTTTGCCAAAAAAAGCGCTGGATGGGTCAAAAAGCAAAAGCACCCCCAACATTCTTTCCCCGTACCACCCAGGCCCTTCCCCCGTCTCCCTGGACTTCGTCAGCCTCGCTCCCGCAGCCACTCGAGGAGAGGATCCCACACGTTGCCGCAAGTAGTACCTCGCTGGAGTAGACGAAGCCGGCGAACTGCAGAGGAGGGCGCACCATTGTCCAGTTCTTGGACTTGAAGTCGAACACCCACAACACGTGCCTGCCGCAGCGTTCCTCGGACTCGATGGCGCCGGTCACCACCACGTGCCTGCCACTGCCGCCGCTCAACTACGCACGCCGTGCCGGCCTCGAGTCCAAGCTGGTAAGGGCCCACCTCGAGCCAGCCCCGGTGCTCCCCGCTCCACTCCAGCACGGTGGTGGTGCCCTCGATGCACCACACGCGGCCCCGCACCACCACATGAGCTGCCGACATCGGTGCGCGCACGTGCTCTAGGCGCCGCCACCTCCGGCAAGGGATGCTGCACTGTCGCCCCGATTTGCCCCCAATGCACTACTAGAAAAAAGGTTGTTAGTGGCGCACCTGTTTTTGCTATTAATGGCGCACTATAGGTGCGCCACTATTACCACGCCACTAGTAACAAATACTAATGGCTCACCTGTGGTGCGCCATTAGTATTACAGGTAACAGTGGCGCACCTTGTAGTGCGCCATTACTATTGCTACATGTGCGCCACTGGTAACTTTTTTTTGATTTTTTTTAATTTTGAAGGCGGGAAAATAGTAGTGGCGCACCGTCTCACCCCCACCGTGCGCCATAATTTGGATCTGGATCTAGATCTGGCTCATTTTTTTTGCCTGTTTTTTTTTCTTGAATTTTTTCAAATTTCATTCTCGACCTGGATCTGGTACGTTCTTTGTGCCGGGGGACTCCACATGTGGCCGGAAGTAGAGAAGGAGGAGGGAGGAGAGACCGTGAGGAGGAGAGCAGGGAGGAGAGACCGTGAGGAGGAGAG